ATGAGAGATGAGAGATATCCAGCCTGTATCATCCATCTATCATCCATCTATTTGTTTTCCCATGTTGTCAAGTATGATAACATGTATAGTCTTCCAGGGGTATAGTCTTCCAGGGGTAGAGTCTTCTCGATGGGTTGGTAAGTGACTGTAGAGACCTGTTCTGGATCTGCAAAGTCTTCCATGACGCAGACATAGGTTTCCAGGTGGAAGTTGGTCCCAACAAGGGTTTGCTTGAGGCACCTTCCTCTTAGCATGTTTCTTCCTTTCACGCCTATTTGTGCCTCCTAAAAATCCATAACATTGTTGATAACAGCTGACCTCCACCTCAAGTGCCTGGGCTTCCCAATTCACTTCCTACATTTTTTATGTTAGCTTTAAGCCCATCTTTAAATCTCTTTTGCTGTCCACTGACAATCTATTTTCTGCTCTTGAGCTGGGAATAAAGTAACTGCTTTGGGAGATGGTGATCAGGCATTTGATAGCAGACAATACTGAGTAAACTTTCTGGACAAAATCTGATTCAGTTTAAAGTACCATCTAATGTCTTTATGAAGTCAGTCCACAAGAAGGAGCAGTTTTGGGCTCATGGAATATGCAGAAAAATATATGGTACCTAAAGTGTCAAGAATCTGGATGTCATCACTTCTAAATATAGATGAAAAGTGATCCTTCTCATGTCATGTAGTCACATTAAAACAATTCTCTGCATATAATAAGATAAAAAATAACGACAAAGACTGCTTTCAATGCTCTTTTTAAATGACCCAGTTTACTACCTGTCAGGTGTTTGTGTTTCTTCTAATATGCAAAAGCCAAATACTTTTTTCTAATCCAATTTATCAGTCCGAAGCAGGTCAATTTAGATAGCGACCACCTCCTACCATCACACTGAATGTAATGTGCATATCAAATAAGTGGAGAATTCATCTCATGAGCAGCAACTAGAAGACTGTCACCTGTCTAAGTGCAGAAAAGGGGAGGATGAGGTTCAGACTAGACATAATGGGGGCAATGATGATTGCTGTTCCCTTGTCTGTCCCATTCATGTATAAAATAGTTTTAATTTGTACCCCAGCCTTACACTTAGATCTAAAGAACCATGAAATTAGAACTGGGAACCCATGGGGGTTTGCATTTGCTTTTTCTTAAACAGCAGCCCCATGCTGCTGTGTTTCATGCCATTAAGAATAAGTGATTAGATATTTTTGCCCAGCAAAACATCCATTTCAATGAATATGAATTATCTCATAAGTGTGCATATCTGTCTTATGTAGGTATTCCTATGGATACCCTGAATCCACCATCAGGAAAGAGTGTTGTGCACGTGTGGACCATAATGACGGATCGCTTCTCGGCCTTTTGGCTAAGATCAAGTGTAGTGTAGTGTTGTGCTGATCTGAACACATAAAAGGCCAGGAGGAGGAAGCAATGCTGGCTAAATAAATACATAAATGTGGCATTTTAATTACATTTCAGGCAAATTGAATGCGGCTCTTATGAAGTTTCCAGGGTGCCATGCAGTTTGTTCAAGTGACAAACAAATGTCTGATCAGACATATGGCAAGGTGAAGAATCACCCTGTGTGAGTTTTAAGATAACACTGCCAAGTCACCTTATGCCGTTCATGGCACAGTTAAAGCAATTCAACATCTCAGTGTGTTTTTTCTGATTTTTTTTTAAAAAAAGAATTAAAATACTTCTAGAAGTACCTAGTTGTGCTTTGACTGTTGTTACAGAGGTCTGCATCTAAAATATTGTGATAAATTTGCAGGCATTAAACAATCGTATTATAAAGGACACAGAAAAACAAGCTTTTCATCTTAACAGTTAAGTTAATACTTAAACAGGTAGAGCAGATACATAGGAAGCAGCTTTATGCAAACTCAGAAATGTTGTTCATCTAGACCAGAGCCTCTTAAGTTTTTTCCACTTGCAACCCCTTTTCGTTGGAGAAATGTTTATGTGATCCCGGGTATAGGGGTATATAAAATAAATATACAAATCAAAATTTAAAACATATCAGATGGTTAAATCATTGGGTACAGAGGGCCAACTGTACCACAGGAATAAAAATTAGGGCATGTCTAAGTCCCAAGTATATAAAAACCAAGCCCCTCAAGTAAAATACAGTATCTGCTGGAGTTTGGCTCCAGGACCATCCGTGTTTCCCAAAATCTGTGGATGCTTACGTCCCATGATATACAACGGTGTAGTAAAATGGTATTCCATATATAAAATGACAAAGGAAAGGATATATGTGTGTGTGTACAAATTTTGAATGGATGAATCCGTGGATACAGAGGGGTCACCCTATTCCAAGGAGCCCCCGGTTGTGCAGTGGGTTAAACCTTGTGCTGGCAGGACTGTGAAGACCGAGAGGTCGCAGGTTTGAATCTGGGGAGAGCATGGTTGAGCTCCCTCTATCAGCTCCAACTCCCCATGCGGGGACATGAGAGAAGCCTCCCACAAGGATGCTAAAACATTAAAATATCCTGGTGTCCCCTGGCCAACGTCCTTGCAGATGGCAAATTCTCTCACACCAGAAGCAACTTGCAGTTTCTCAAGTTGCTTCTGACATAAACAAAAAACAAAAACAAAACCCTATTCCAAGCCAAGCTCTGCTGAAGACAAAGGCGCAATCCTTAAAATAACAAAAAAAATATATTAAGATTTCCTTCAAGCAAGGAGGTGCAGTTCGGGGGAAAAGAATGGCAGTGAATGTCTGGAGGGGCTTGCTGGGGTTTCCACTTCCTCCTTCTTACCTATTTCCCCTGCCTTTCCTCAACCCACACCCTCCTGCTGCTCCTCCTCCTCTTCTTCTGTTGCCAGCAGCTCCATTTCTTTCTCCCTCATCCATATGGCCCTGACCTTGCTCCTTCTTTTCCTTCAACAACACCAGCAGCCCCTTCTACCTTGTGTGACTGCGGGATGTGCCAAGTAGATGGATGAGTCAGCCAGCCTCAATTCACTTATGGGACCCCATTTGGGGTTGCAACCCATAGTTTAAGTAGCTTTGACTTAGGGTGGATCTACACTGCCATTTAATGCAGTTTGGAATTGCATTATACGAGTAGATCCATATTATGCATGTAATACATCATCCCTTACCTGTATCCACAATGGCTAGTCTTGATGAAAGCCCGTTCCTGAATACTGGTTTTAAGAGTACACTATTTTTGCTTAAACTGCTGAATCTATCCAGTATAGAATTACAATGTTTACTTGCTGCTATTATTGTTTTTAATTCCGAAATTGATCCTTAAAGCATCCACACGCACGCGCACGCACACACACACTTATAGTAGACTCTTAGTTAACCAACACTCATGGGAATTGGTAGATGCCAGAAAAATGTAGCTTCTGGATATTATTGAGATTTACTATTAAAATATGTCCAACTAATACTATACTCCATACTATACCACGCCATAAACTCTGATATTAGTATTACAATATAATATAATAATTAAAAGCAAATAGAGACAAAACAGAATGTAATATAGTTTTGCTGAATTATAAAAATGTCACTGTGTTCTAAAAATATTTTATTTTAATTTTTAATTAAAATGTTATTTCTTTGATGTTTTTGCTGGTTACTTGAGTTCTGGTTATCTGAGAGTCTACTGTATATATGGACACAGACACAAATCTCTATTTGCCTTTCTGGTGAAGATTGTCATCCAAATATGGGACGAGAAAAGAGATCAAGAAATAATGGAAGAGAGAAAACAAGGAGGAGAAAAAAAAGACCTTCCATGATAGATTAGCTCTGGCATTTAGGGCACATTTGCCACCTTAGGGTATGAATCTCTGGAGCAAAATATTATTTTCCTGACAGTGAACTCCTTTTGGAAGCGAATTACAATGGCTATTGTGAAGAAAGACATTCAAGCTCTTTTAGCAATTACAGCAATGTGAGGAGCCGCTACTGTAAGGAGCATTTGGGGCATACACTCACCCCTGGGGCGCTCCCTAGTAATTGGAAAGGAGAGATAATATTTGCCCCCCAGAGATGACACAATGGGCCTGTTCTATAAAAACATTGGTCGTCCTTTCAGAAACAGAGATTGAGGGAAGCTGCTCTCTGATGCCTGCCGTCAGTCCTGCTACAGCTGCAACAATAACCTGTCCCTGTCCGGTTGGCCTGGATTATAATCCGAGAGGAGCTCAGGAGGAGCTTTACATCATCTTCTAATGTAAACAGTATTGTATGAGAGCCTGACGTCCCCTAGGATTTCCACTGAGCAGTGATTGATGCGGAAAGGGATGGAATTGCTGTGATTTGACATCAGTCACAGCTCTTGCTTGGCTCCCAAGCTGACCCTGTTAGCACAGTCTGACTTGGATCATTTGTCTCAAAAGTACCGAGGGATTTCAAAACAGCTGTGGATTCAACCATTTCAAACGGGAACATTGTGGTAAGAATAAACATACATCACACGCTCTTTAGAGCCCAGGGGCTCTGAAGTCTTGGCTGGCTTTTGGTCTCTTTTCTTTCTCACACTTTTCGCTTTGCTTTTCTTCTTCTTCTTTCCATTGCTTTCAACTGATGCCCACCTTTTGTCCTCACACATCTTCCCCTCACCCCACTGCATTCCTCTTTATAAACTTCTCTTTCTCCTGTTCTGTTAGAAATGAGCAGGTGAATGGGAGAGTTCCAGAAATAAGGCTGCGGAGGGCAACTTTTAAGACTGTGATGTTTCTCACATCCAAGATACATTAAAAAAACTCACAACAATTTATTGTAACCTCCACTGTGAAGAACATCTGAGTACCACCAGCATAAAAAAGCAATACCTGCAACTCATACCTGCTAGAATAGTTGAATGCCCAGAAATGCAATCCTGATATCTGTGAAGCAGGAAAGACACTTAGAAAACATGCAAAGTTCAATCTCCACCCTTGGCCCAAGACAGAAATGAAATTTGCTGTATCAAATTGCTTCCATGTATAATTCAGGGTGTCAATATTTTCTCCTAAAGACTTAGATGGCTTTAGGGGAGGCATGCAGATTTTTGTGAAGACCTTGACTGGCAAGACCATCACACTCGAGGTTGAACCAAGTGATAACATTGAGAACGTGAAAGCCAAGATCCACAACAAAGAAGTCCTCCCCCCAGACCGACAGAGGTTTATCTTTGCTGGCAAACAGCTTGAAGGTGGCCGCACTCTCTCCGATTACAACATCCAGAAGAAATCCACCCTCCATCTTGTGCTGCGTTTGAGGGGAGGCATGCAGATTTTCGTGAAGACCCTGACTGGCAAGACCATTACTCTCGAGGTGGAACCCAGTGCCACCATTGAGAACGTCAAGGCCAAGATCCAAGACCAAGAAGGCATCCCCCCAGATCAGCAGAGGCTCATCTTTGCTGGGAAGCAACTTGAAGATGGTCGTGTGCTCTCCGAATATCCAGGAGTCCACCCTCCACCTTGTGCTGCGCCTGAGAGGCGACTGTTAGATTCACAAACACCTTTGCAAGTTGCCAATAGCATTTGTTTGCACTGTAGCAGTTTCATGTCTTAATATTGTAAGGTGAATGCAGGTTCCCGGAGCCTCTAGACTTGTTTGTGTAAATGCTAATAAAGTTTTCCATTGCACATTGAAAAAAATAGATGTCTTAGAATGAGGTTATCTTAAGGGCCAGGTGTCCTAAGACATCTGAGGGTGCATCTATACTGTAGAATTCATGCAGGTTGATGCTACTTTAACTGCCACAGCTCAATGTTTTGGAATCATGGAAGCTGTAGATTGGCAAGATCTTTAGTCTTCTCTGCCAAATAGTGCTTGTGCCTTCATTACATTGAGCCACGGTGCCAAACTGCATTAATTCTAAAGTGTAGATGTGCCCATGGACTCATTTTTCTCAAGAACTTAATATTTAAGATCTCTTAACTCCATTCCAGTAGTGTTGATTGTAACACACACACACACACACACAGCCCCCTGGTGGTGCATCGTGTTAAACCATTGAGCAGCTGAACTTGCTGACTGAAAGGTTGGCAGTCCAAATCCGGGGAGCAGGCTGAGCTCCCACTGTTAGTCCCAACTTCTGCCAATCTAGCAGTTTGAAAACATGCAAATGTGGGTAAATCAATAGGTACCGCTTTGGTGGGAAGGTAATAGCACTTCAATTAGTTATGCTGGCCACATGACCTTGAAGGTGTCTACAGATAATTCTGGCTCTTCAGCTTAGAAATGGCTAGATGAGCACCAACTCCCAGAGTTGGACACGACTAGACTTAATGTCAGGGGAAAACTCTCTCTCTTTGTGTATAATATGTGTGTGTGTATATATATATAAAACAACACACACATACATATTATAGTTATTACACACATACACACACAAACTGTTTTATCCCCTTATGATTAAAGTCATTCTACATTTGAACTCAGTGAAATCATGTTTCTCTTCAGGCTTCTTTGGCCTACAGAATGATGGGAACTTTTATCAAATTATACCTGGCACTCACAAGTTGCCCATCCTTGATATACATAATAAATAATGTACATGTTTCCCAAAGGTGAGTAATATGGCTTACTAGAAAAGTGGAGTCAGCATGCATAACTGAGTCTTTCCCATCAGAAGCTGCCTGACTCAAATCATCCAGGTGTGGCAAAGACCACAATACAGCACAATGGCAGAAATCCCACAGTATTCTAAGTATCGTTGATTACAACTCCAGCATGACCAATAGCCATGAAGGAGTTGGTATTGTCTTATTACACTAAAACAAATGCAGGCGTTTATATATATGCATGTGTGTGTGTGCATGATTAAAAAGTAAGAGCCGGAGTAGTGTAACAGTTTGGAGTCTGAAAACAAGAATTCAAGTTGCGACTCAGCCATGGAAACCTATTGGTTGACTTGGGCAAGTCAGAGGGAGGCAAAAGCAAAATAAATCTGAAAAATCTTGCAGAGAAAACCTCATGTTTGTCCTGGATCACAGGAGAATGCATTTAATCTTCCCTTCTCTCTCTATGTATATATTGAAGTGACTAAGACACAAAACTGAAAAATATAGGATGAGCAAAAACATGAACCTTCTTCAGTTGTTAAAGATGGAATGTATGCATGCATCTGTGTCTATATGTGTATGTGAGTATGTAAATAATACCAATATACACATTTATAAATCAGATCTTTCCAGGTTAAAAAAAAATAGTCTGCTTCTGACAGATCTCTTCCAGGCATGATCTTCACAGCATGTCCTGTTGTACTGCGGTAGCGTTACCTATTTCCTCACTCCTCTCTTTGCTCTGTTTTCTCATCTTCTCTCTTTTTATTTCCTCTGCAGTCGCATCCCTGGAGAGATCTGCTAGGAGGAGTGATAAACTGAGAAACGGAATAATTATCACAGCTTTCACAGTCTGAAGCGGTCTTTAATGTTCACGTTTAAAACATCGGCACTCTAAAAGCCAGGAATATGATGGTAAAATAGGTTCCCAAACACTTCTGCCCCAGAGCAAATGTTTCTTAACCACATGAAGGCAGAGACAGACTTTCTCTAGCTGAGACTGAATGAAGCCGATCTGGTTCCCAATATATGATTCCACTGTTCAAAATATTGGGAACGCTCCAATGGTTTTAGCCCCACAGGAAAACCATGGATGGTGTGAGGAACAGGGGAACACTGACCTAAGGCTCTTTAAATAAGAATACCAACACACTGGGGTTTTGTGTGGTTTCCAAGGCTTTATGGGCATGTTTGAGCATAACTCAGTCTTTCCTATCAGATGCTACCTGACCCAAATCATCCAGATGTGGCAAAGACCACAAGGGCAGAAATCCCACAATATTCTAGGTTTTGTTGATTGCAACTCCAGCATGACCAATGGCCATGAAGGAGACATTTCGCCTGCATCTGTGGCTGGCATCTTCAGAGGATCCGATGGTGATAAAGCAAGAGGAGTATATATACCTGTGGAATGTCTAAGGTGGGAGAAAGAACCAGTGTCTGTTAACCAAGTGTGAAGACTGCAATTAGCAAGCTTGATTTGCAAGTGTGTGAGTGGGATCCCTCTATTAGCATGTGACAGAGTATGAAAGAGAGTTGAGCTGAATTATTTTCACAGTCTGTCCCCAAAATGAATGTGACTGTCAAGACACCTTCGTCAGATGTCTGAGCACTTTGGAAAGAGACAAAACTAAACTGTACTAGAGGTGTCGGGTTTCAGGGATGCACAAAGCCAAGGCTGCAAAAAACTGTTCTCAATTTATTTATTTATTTATTTATTTCATTTACTTATACCCCGCCCTTCTCACCCCGGGGGGGGGGGGACTCAGGGCGGCTTACAGAGGAGGCACAATTAAATGCCTCAAGTGCAGGGATTGCTTTGCAAGTCTAGGGGCAAGAGATCAGTGCAGGCCAACACAATCCGCATATCACACACAGTTAGACCACACAAGTGTTGGCAGGAAAGGGCCAGAACTTTTATCGATTACAGTTGTATAGCTCGGCCTGTCCTGAGACACACATCCAGTGTCCGGCAATGACCACAAGCATCCACTTACTGGACTCCTGACTTGAAACAGGAATCAACAAAGAAGACATTAACTGCAAAGCCATTCAGGCGTGGTTCTCCACCATTAGAAGGTAAGGCATGTCCACTCAATGTGGGTGTTACCTGCAAGCCTCTACCTTCCATCCCATTTTATAATTGGACTCCATGTACTGATGGATGATAGGCTGCAAGTCCCAACTTACCTTGAACCTCAATTTTGCTCCTTGCCACATCACCCCAAACCTGTGACAGCTGATAATAATAATAATAATAATAATAATAATAATAACAACAACAACAATAATCTTTTATTTGTATACTGCTCTATCTCCCTGAGGGGACTCAGGGTGGTTTCCAACGTACCGACACAAAACTTACAAAGTAATCATTATAAAACATAGGCATAATACTATATAACAGTTGTACATATTTAAAATTAAAAACCAGTTCAGTACCAGTTTCCATTGGGCAAGTTCAGCTTCCAATGGCCAGAATGCCAGAGTGGGCCTCAACGACTATGAGAGGGCTGGGCTAGTATAACGAAGGGGAGTGGGTAAAGTGCAAGCATGGTCCTGCCTAATGGTCAGGGTGGGACCTAGAGATAATTGTTTCCCTGGCCTGCTGCACAGCTATAAGAGGGCTGGGCCAACAGGAACATATAAGGCAGGGGAAGTGGATAAAGTGCAGAACAGGGCCCTAACTCATGGCCAGGGTAGTGCCTGGGACTATTCCTTTCCAGGGCCTGCTGAATAGCTATAATAGGGCTGAACCAGGGCTAATACAATGGGGTAGCAAAGGGCAAGGGAAATGGGTAAAGTGCAGAGCAGGGACCAAACTAATGGCCAAGGTGATCATCAAATCAACTTACAAACCACTGGGCACGCAGTAATAAACAGGAAAAGTACCCCATAGACAGTTCAGACAAATGCTAGTAAACAAGCCTATGATATAGGGAAGATGGGCATGAAAGCACCAAACCAAACCGTCTGGCAATGTGCCAGAAGGCTCTGCAGGTCAGGTGCCTGGGAAGCACTCACCCCGACAGCCACACACACTGGTTGGTTAATTTTATCCAGGTGGTAATGGCACAAGTGAGCCCACAAAGAGAAAGCGAAATCATATAGCAAGGGGGTCCAGAAAGAGGAAAATGGAAGCTTCCAGATATTCACACTGCTGCTGTAGCCTAATAAATTGGCCCAGGTAAGTTTTTCCACTCTATCATTCTTCTTAGCTAAACTTCTTTCTTCTTGTTCACCCACCGCTAAAGGAAGAGCTAGCCAAGTGCATAGATCTGATATATGAAAGAGCTGCAGTGTTTAGAAAATGAGAATAAATTAAACATCTAACTGACAAGGTTAGTGAGCAATTCAGTCATAGTATTAATCACTTACATACCTACTTAAAAAAAAAAGGATTTCAAACATTTCATTAATCCATACAAAGTAGATCAGTATTATAATCTACATATGATAGATAGGGCGGAGAGATAAGCCTTATGCGCTTGTTAGTTAAGGGTGTTGGAGCCCCCGGTGTTGCAGTGGGTTAAACCCTTGTGCTGGCAGGACTGAAGACCAACAGGTCAGAGGTTTGAACCCGGAGACAGTGCAGATGAGCTCCCTCTGTCAGCTCTAGCTCCCCATGCGGGGACATGAGAGAAGCCTTCCACAAGGATGGTAAAATATCAAAACATCTGGGCTTCCCCTGGTCAACGGAGATGGCCATTTTTCTCATACCAGAAATGACTTGCAGTTTCTCAAGTCACTCCTGATACAAAAAAAAGTTAAGGATGTTTTATCAACATGTGAAGAGGGTGAGCAATAACTTTGCCCCCCTCCATCCCCGCGACTGCCACATGGATGGAGATGACCCTGTGGTCTCTCATAATTTTACCATTCTCATAATTATATTAATTGTGTCTGTAGTGTCCCACCATACAAGGGATACAAACAGAGATTATGCATTGTGTTTTGGTGGATTGTGCCCAGTATTTGCAGTGCAGCTGCTGATGGTGGCTGTTTCAAGCCAGCTCATATATTGCTGTTGTTGGCTATGTACCAAAATCGAGCAAAGCAAAAATTCAGACATTTAAGCATAAACTTACAGT